TCATATTTTATGGATAAAATGTCCTCTGGTTTTCCCTCTGATGTCCTACCACTGCTCTGTCTGTCTGCAGCCTTTTATTTAGCAGAGCTGTCCCCAACTACCCACTGCTGCAGCTGCAGCATAAATGCACGTTTACGCAAAAACGTGCATGGTTAAGTTTCAGTTTTCGAAGCCGCGTGTCGCAGCCAAAGTTACATACTGTTGCTTTAATAGTTGGCTTAGTACTTGTGTGTCCGAAATAGGGAGTACTAATGCTTGCATATTTTTCTTAAATAGGTCCCATACTATTCTGTCCTATCTCACTTGAGGGGAAAATAGCAGTTGTATAAAAATGTTGGGAATTTACTTTTGTGTTATTTCAGTAGATCATCTGAGATTAGAGTGACCAGACATCCCCAGTTTGGCTGACCTGTCCCAAGCTAGAGCTGTCCCCGGAAATTTCCCCAATTTCAACTGTGGATTAAAAAAACACAAGTGAAATAGACGCCACAGCTCTGATTCTGGTTGCACACAGACTGATGCAGTACTACCTGTGACTGCTATGTGGGTTGCATTGGCAGGGTGGTGCTGTCCATAGTTTTACTCATTTACTCCACAGACAGAAGACAGAAGCTATTTTATGAGGGCAAAAGAAGAAATAAGTCAGAGTTGGAGCGGACTGAAGACTTATTTCACTGACAGTAACATATACTGTTGTTGGTGTGGCTGTATTATAGTGAATTGTGAACATTACCATGTGATAGCTATTACAATATATTATATATATATGTGGCTCTGTTTTAGGAGAGGAAGATTACTGATAGAAGAGTAAAAGGAAGCAGGAGGAAAAGAAATGTCCTTTTAATGACAAGAAAATAAAAAACAAAACATTTACGCCCGTAGACCACAATGACATGGTGGTCCATTGCATTCTTTGAAAGCTGTCAAAATACATGAAACTGCAATTGCCCCCATTTTTTAGTTCATAATAATATTTAATGACTTCTGTACTCTGAACTTGAAATGTCCCTGCTTTTCATTTCAGAAATCTGGTCACCTTATCTGAGATTAAATGGAAATAACAACTGCGTGTTTTCCCCTTGCTGTTTTTAATTAATGTAGTTTGTGAATGTTACTGAGCACTTTATTGGACTTCAAAAGTAATGTGAATGAGTGAGGGGCTTAATTTAAGTTAGCACCTTTCTTCATCTCAACAGTGTTCACTGCAGCTAGATGGGCAAATGACTCCCTCCTGTGATGGAATCAAGTGGATGAGAATGCAGTGATCTGATTTATCAATAGATTTTGACTAGGGTTTTGCTCATTTGAGTAGAGTGAAATACAAAGCTTATGTCTGAACAGTGAATTACGCACAATAAACTTGAGTTGTCAGAACCTGATCATGTGAGAGGATGTCATTGTAGCTCCTAATTTCTTTTCTTTGTTCACAGATTCAGCATTCAAGATTCAGATTTGAAGTTCAAGATCCACATTTACAGTTTCACACTGCATGTTTGATAGCAACGTTCTGTTCCATTTTCTTTTTGAATTAAAGCTTCCTTTTCTCTTCTTTCTGGGCTCGTTTTATTTTTGTTATATTAGTAAAATGGATGTAGCAGTCCCTGTGACAGCCAGCATTAGCTGGTATAGCATATTCAGCAGGTTACTGGCTGTTAAAGTTAAATCTCCGCACTGCCTCTTCAGCTATAAGACTCTCTTCAGTCCCTAAATCTTTCCACTCAAACACTGATTTAATAAATTTTTGCCATCTTGTGTCTGTAAAAGGAGTGATTGGTCCATCTTTCTGAATTATATGCATACAGCACTCCATTTCTTATGCTAATGTAATGCTAGCAAACAAATAAAAAATAGCAACAAAGATTAATATAGTGGCAGGAGGAGGGTCGTTTTTATGACGTTTCATCATTTTGACAGATAAATGACAGGTGAAGTTCCCAAGCAAGATAACAGACCTCAAATTTGTGAAATCAGATATGTTTATTTTGTATAAAGCTAACAGAGAAAATATACATGGTACCTACACAGATTGTTTAAAAAAAGTCTGTAACGTGTTAAGACCACGTTATGTAGCCTATTAAAGACATAAAAGAGCCTTAACAGGCTATGTATGTGTGGCTCTCGGTGGCTCTACGTGCAGCGCCATTTTTCCAAGGGTTTTTTTCTTTTTTCCAAGCGTTCCATTGGATGATAACTACAATCACGTCATGCATGTCGGACCCCGGACGTAGCTGTCTGCTCTGTTTGCCGGAAAAAAGGTAACGTGATAAAGTTACCGATCTACAAAAATGTGCAAGAAGTACCGGTGGCAACAATTTTCTTTTGATTTATTGAAAACTTAAGAAGTTGTCAACAAAAATCTGGGTCCTCCCCCGATAGGGATCGTTTAAATACAAGGAATCGCGGCTTCGGCCCACCGCCTAACATGACAAAAGCAGACAAGAACTACCGAGTGCTGTCCTTGGTGCTGAATATGCAAAAACAA